TCTCTCTCTCTCTCTCTCTCTCTCTCTCTCTCTCTCTCTCTCTCTCTCTCTCATTCTTAAGATTTATTGCATGTGTTATGGTGTTTTGCCTGCATGTCTGTGCATCACATCCATGCAGTACCCAGGGAGGCCAGAAGAGGGCATCCGATCCTTTGAAACTGGAGTTACAGAGAGTTGTGAACTGTCACATGGGTGCTGAGCATCAAACCCGGGTCCTTGGTGTGAGCAACAAATACTCACTGCTGAGTCATTTCTCCAGCACCTCCACAGGGCTTCTCAAAAATTCCAAGAGGAATGGAGAGCTGTGGAAGAGAGAGAGGGGAGACACAATCCAACACACATTGCCAGTCACTGACACCAGAGATGAATGGCCCCTTCCAGAACCATCCAGAAGACAAGGAGTCGATGCCAAGGCAGGTGGGCCCCACAGGCAGCTGGGAGCTCTGTGAGAGTAAGCTTGATTCAGCATTGGGCACCAAGGGGAAACATGAGAATAAATTACTTGATGGATCAATAAAAAGCCAGGTGTCTTGTCCACACCAAGAACCAGATCCCTGACAGTCTAGTCTGTCTTCTACTATGCCCACCCACACAGAATTCCCCTTGACAACCTTGAGATCCACCCAGGAGATGGCATAAGTTCCTGGGGATAGCAACCCTTGCCTCAACTTGGCAAGCACCAGCCTTGGCTAGAAGGCTGGGTACACAGTGTGCCCTGCCTGTGGGCTGAGGCGGGAGCAGGGTGGGGCCCAGTACTCACTATTTGGATGACTGTGCATTTCCAGTCCAACTGTGCTTTCTCTAGTTGGAGCTGAATCTCTCATATCCAGCACATTCCACCAGATGCAGTGTGGCTGCTGGGGGCTCTAACCTTGCGCTCACCCTGCAGACCCGGGGCTTCTGTTGAGCTGGAGAATCAGAGTTGGGTCTGTAGAACCCTCTAGTGAATGTCGGGATGGAGAAGAAGACAGGAGAGACAGGTTGACTTGTGGCCAGCAGATTCAAAACTGACTCCAAGAGCCCCCTTTACCAGGACTATATAACCTTAAGCAAGCTGTACCCCTTTCCTTCTCCCTGCCTGCCTGCCTTCTTTCCATGTATGTACACTGTACATGCTCATGTGGGGATGGGCATACGTGTGAGGGGGGGATATGTGTGTATGGAGGAGGCCAGAGATGCTACAATTTTTAAAATTTTTTTTTTTTGTGTGTGTGTGTGTGTGTGTGTGTGTGTGTGCGCGCGCGTGCGCGCGCGCCAGCAGAGCCCAGAAGAGCCTTGATCCCCAGGAGCAGAGTTATATGTTGTTGTGAGCCGCCTGACTCAGGTACTGGAAACTGAACTCAGGTCCTCTGGAAGAGTAGCAAGTGCTCTTAACTGCTGAGCCATCTCTCCATCCCCTCTATCCTTCCAGCCCCTCCATGATAGTTTTTGAGGCTGAGTCTCTTCCTGGACCTGGAGCCCACCACCTGGCTTGACTAGTGGGCTAGCTAGCTTCTCCGGTGCTGGAATTGGAGCCAACTCAGCTCTCACAGAGGTGTGTAGAATCTGAACTCAGGTCCTCACGGTTGCACGGTGGGCATTTTACCGAATGAGCCACCTTCCCGGTCCCTAACCCCACTTCCTGAAGTCTGTCCTGAGAGAGAGAGTGAGCATCATCCGCCAAGGCCTCCAAAGGGATGACTCCTGGGAGGAAAGCGTGGCTTCCTGTGGCAAAGCGGGACAGAGAGACAGAGATGTTCTGCCTACTCCTCTCCAGCTTGGGTACCTTCTAGAAACTTCCTGGATCTGTTGGATGCCTGAGGACCATCCCCGTCAGTCAAACCTTGGCTGGCCCTGATATAAATTCCCAGAAGTGTGCTCCACGAGGAAGGGGTTCTCCTCCCCAGGATTTTCAGACTCCAGACTTGCAGCTCATTGTTATATCTACCACAAGCTGGTGGGAGAGCCGGCACCTGGCCACCATGAACCATAACCAACAACTGTGGGTCATTTTTAGAGCTGAAGAGATGACGCAGTCAATAAAGCATTTGACGGGTTGGAGAGATGGCTGAGTGGTTAAGAGCACTGGGTTGCTCTTCCAGAGGACCCAGGTTCGATTCCCGGCAGCCAATGGCAGCTCACAACTGTCTCTAACTCTTGTTCCAGGGGATCTGACACCCTCACATAGACATGCATGCAGACAAAACATCTGTGGCGGTTTGAAAAATAATGGCCCCAAAGGGAATGGCACTGTTGGGAGGTGTGGCCTTGCTGGAGGAAGTGTGTCACTGTGGGAACAGTCTTTGAGGTCTCTTTTCTCAAGCTTCACCAGTGTGACAGTCAGTCGACTTCCTGCTGCCTTCTGGTCAAGATGTAGCACTCTCAGCTCCAGCACCATGTCTGCCTGCACGCCACCGCCATGCTGGCCCTCATGATGATAATGGACTGAACCTCTGAAACTGTAAGCGAGCCACCCCAATTCAATGTTTTCTTTAATAAGAGTTGCCGTGGGGGAGGGGGGCTGGAGAGATGGCCCAGTGGTTAAGAGCACTGGCTGCTCTTCCAGAGTTCCCAGCACCCACATGGCAGCTCACAACTGTCTATAATTCCAGTTCCAGGGGATCTGACACCTTCACACCAATGCACATAAAATAAAGTTTAAAAAATATTCTTAAAAAAAAAAAAGAGTTGCCATGGTCATGGTGTCTCTTCACAGCAATAAAAACCCTAACTAAGACAACACTAATGTATAGAAAATAAATAAATAAATAAATAAATGAATAAATAAATAAACAAATAACATTTGAATCCCAAGTTTAAGACCTGAGTTTGATCTCTCAGAACCCACATAAACAGCTTGGTCTCATTGTGCAGCCTTGGAATCCCAGCACCTGAGAAGCAGAGACAGGAGAGTCCCTGGTCTCCTTGGCCAGCTAGCCATGCCAAATCCGGAAGCTCCAGGTTCCCTGAGGATGAAGGAAGGGGCTGGCGAGAAGGCTCAGCTGCTAAAGGTATTTGCCAGCAGGATTAGTGACCTGAGCTCAACCCCAGAACTCACAGAAGGGTGGAAGAGGAAAAAATAACCCCACGAAGTTATCTTCTGACTTCTCCGTGCACACTGTGGGATTTGAATGCACACACACATACATGCACTAAAAGCAACAATAAAGAAAATAAAAATTTCCAACAGAAACAGCAACAAAATGAAAATTTTAAAAAGGTGGAGATCAATTTTGAGAAAGAGGCCCCCAACACTGACCTCTAGCCTACACACACACACACACGCACACGCACACGCACACGCACACGCACACGCACGCACGCACGCACAAGCACGGGAGATTTTTAGAGGGGCCAGATCATGTTGGCAAGCTGCTTATTTGGAGCTGCTTCCTCGTTGGTAAAATAGGAATACTAATTCCTCCTAGGGAAGGCATGCAGGTGTCCTGGTTAGGGTTTCCATTGCTGTGCTAAAACACCATGATCGAGGGTCGGACCTTGGGGAGGAAAGGGTTCACTTCATCTTACAGCTTGGAGTCCATCCTGAAGGGAAGCCCGGACAGGGACTAAAGATAAGAAGCTGGAGGCAGGAGCTGGTGGAGAGGAATGTGCTGCTTACTGGCCAACTCCTCAGGGCTTGCTCAGCCTCCCCCCACTCCCCCCAGAAAGAGCTTCTCTGGGTAGCCCTGGCTGTCCTGGAACTAGTTCTGTAGACCAGGCTGGCCTGGAACTCACAGAGACCCTGCCTTTGCCTCAGGGTCCTGCCTGAGCCACCACACCTGAGGACGGCTTGCCTTCTTAGTCAGCCTGGAGCACCTGTCCAGGGGTGACACCACTGGGACCTCCCATATCAATCACTACTGAAGAAAAATACACTGCAGACTTGCCCGTAGACCAACATGGCGGGGACGTTTTTTCTCAATGGAAGCTTCCTCTTCCAAAATGAGTCTAGCCTGTGTCAAGGTGACATAAAAACTAGCCAGCAGTTGGGCGGTGATGGCTCAGGCCTTTAATCCCAGCCCTGGGGAAGGAGAGGCAGGAGGATCTCTGTGAGTTTGAGGCCAGCCTGGTCTACAGAGCGAGTTCCAGAACAGCCAGGGCTACACAGAGAAACCCTGTCTTGAAAAACCAAAAAAGAAACAAAAAAAACAAAAAAGAAACAGAAAACTAGGCAGCCCCTGCTGGGGTGTGAGCAATGATCTCTGAAAGCCGCTCAGCCCCTCAGTGCCTGGACACAGTGACATCATGACCGACTTCTCAGCAGCCCTTGGCCTCCGCTCAAGGCCAGTGAGGTCTGCAGGAGGGGGGGGGTGTGCTCAGGACATCATGATCTCCCTAAGACTGCAGGCCAGGGGCAGAGGGGGAGGG